AATACTACAAGAGCTGTGGACTCTCCTACCCCGAGTGTTGCTGGGAAAGTACTGTCAAGATGCTCCATTTATGAGTTGCTCCCTCCCTTCAAGGCCGTCTCACGGATGGCGAGGAATATTAGCAGGTCGAGACGTCATTTCCCAAGGTTTAGGACACATAGTGGGGGATGGCAAAGACATACGGGTTTGGGATGAAGCCTGGTTGTCCACCGAAGCTCTTCTAAGACCAATGGGACCTCCCCCGTTGAGCTCGGTGAATCTTATTGTGGACACGCTAATGGATCCCTCCACTAATGATTGGAATTGGAACGCAGTGGATCTCCATCTCCCGGCTTACAAACAACATTTGAAGATGATCCCCCTTGGCTCTTTCCGGGGTAGGGACCGCAAAGCTTGGTTACCGGTAAAGAGAGGGGGATACACATCTCGCTCTGGCTATGCACTTCTTACCATGAAAGACCTGCTGGTCCAACAAACCCAATTTAAATGGCAAGCCAACATCTGGAAACTTGCCACTCTGCCTAAGATTAGACATTTTCTTTGGAAGGCGGCATCAAGAGCTCTGGCTATTGCAGAGACTCTTGCTAAAAGAGGAATTCTAGCCAACCTTCTATGTAAAAGATGTGGAGTAACGGAAACAGCCCTTTACATCCTCAGAGACTGTCCATTTGCCATCCAAGTATGGTCATTACCCCTTTGTCGGGTGCTACTTTTGATCCCAACAAATCTATCTTGGAATTCTTACAAGATTTGAAACTTGGTAGAGCACTACCTCCTTCCAGAATTAATGTTGCAGCTCTTCATGCTTGGACTTGTTGGGGGTTGTGGACAGCCCGAAATCAAGTTGTCTTCTCGGAAAAATCCTTCTCCCACACGGAAGTGGCGGTCAAGGCAGTAACTGAGCCCTTGAATTGGCAAAAAGCCCAACTGCAAGTTCCATCGACACGCAAGAGCGCGGTAATGCCTCTGCAGTCTCCCAACGCTACAGCGGAGCTCGAACATGTCATGAACGTTGATGGGGCCTGGAATCAGACGTCCCTCAATGGCGGAATGGGGTGGACTATCTCCACGGTAACAGACAATACTACGTTCCAATCCTCTGCTTCGCGGCCGGCAGTTCCCTCAGCTTTATGCGCCGAAGCTATGGCCATGCGGGCTGCTCTGTCCCACGCCTTGGAGCTGGGGTGTTGGAAGCTTCTGGTTCGATCGGACTCTCAGAATCTTGTGACTCTCCTCCACTCGGTGGACTCACATAATCAAATTCAAGCAATCCTTGATGATATTAGACATTTAGAATGTTCCTTTTCCACAATTTTCTTTGAATATATCCCACGCGCAGACAATGTAGTTGCCGACGCGCTAGCAAAACAAGCTTTAACGGTCCTTGAAACCGTTGTAACCTCCAACTTTTGATAAATGAAATTTCAGTTGTGACCAAAAAAAAAAAATACATTAGTTTTTTTTTTATAAATTTAATGGTGTTTCCATGGAAATTTAATGGTGTAACCAGTTAGAAGAGCTGTTTTACTGGTACCAAATCCGAATATGAATGTTGTTTTGAAAAGAACTATGTTCTAATGAATTAGGATTGTTAAGATTTGTGATTCGAGAAAGTATACCATACGAAAGCCCAATACTCCACGTAAACAAAAATTTGTTTAAAGATTGTTGTCTCTAAAAACTTATTGCGACAAGCATTATAATATTACTATGCGAGGATGTATATAGCCTATACACATAAAAGTATTATCATGGGCTTTATTCTCTTAAATGGTTTAAGACTACCTTTCAACCACTTCGCTAATTTTTTTTAACTAAATAAAGAAAGGAAAAAACCTTTATATTCTGTTTAGTTGAAATGTCACTTGCATATATAAATCAACAAAACAATTTATAATTTACAAGTTACGAATAATTATTTTTGGTCTTGCATGTTGTATGTTGAATCTGAATTTAGAATACTAGCTAGGTATGTGGTGT